TGCAGCTCTTTCCCAGTCCTGTTTGGAGAGCCTTTTAACCTAACCAGACTATTCATAAAGTGGCTCAGTAATGTATCAAACAGCGTTTCTTTGCTATTCATAAGGTTTTCCCTGGCCAATTATTTGAGAAGTGGATGGCCTCTTCCTTCTTCCTAGTCTGTCTCAGTCTGTAAGCTGGGCTGTTACCTGTGTACCATGTGCATCCCACTGGGTTTGAAACACCAGTGGCTCAGCCTCAAAACTCACATCAACATGTCACCACAGTAGGACAAACCGACAGACAGGTTTGTCTCCCTGTAGACAAACAAAATCCCTGTCTGATGATCTACTTCTGAAAAATCAGAGATTGATAACCTTATGGAGCACAGTTCCACTATGACATATGTAGGGTCACTGTGAGTTAGAGTTGACTCCACAGTAACTGGTTTCTTTGGGGAGAAGGGGTGCTGGAAAATTAACCAAAGGCCATGGGACATGTGAGGTGGTTGGGTAACAGCAGATAGGTCTGTAGGAAGCAGCCATGCAGAGACAGCCCAGCCTGCCTTTACTCCACCCCTTAACCTTTGCAGATCCTGTAACATAGCAACAAAGCTAAGAAACAGGACCCAGGGCATGCCCTTCCTTCTCTTCCCCTTGTTCATCCCTAAAGAAAGTCCAAAAGTCTGGAAATGGCTGGAAGGAAAGAGATAAGAACCTATGTTCAATCTGACCATGAGTGTGACTTGGAAAGGGTATGGAGTTAATTGAGAATAATACCACTGGCCAGATCCACTACTGAGATGCATACTGAGGAGAAAGTAAGGATGCAATGAAAACACTTTTGAAATACTCTTATTTCACATGTATGTGGCAATTGATAAGGAGCTCTAGTGGTATAGTAGTGGCATAGTGGGAGCTCTGGTGGTGTAGTGCCTAAGGCCCTTGACTGCTAACCAGAAAGCTAGCGGTTCAAACCCACCAGCCACTCCATGGAAGGAAGGTGGGGCAATCTACTTCCATAGTGATACCACCTCAGAAATCCAAGGAGGGGTTGCTATGAGTTGGGTCCAACTCGACAGCACATAACAACAACAATAACAACAGTGGCATAATGGGTAAGACATTTGGCTGCTAACCAGAAAGGTGATAGTTCAAACCTACCAGTTGCTCCATAGGAGGAAGATGAGGCAATCTACTTTTGCAAAAATTTATAGCCTTGGAAACCCAATGGGGATCGCTATGAGTCAGAATTGACTCAATGGCAATGGGGTGTTTTGTTGGTGGTGGTGGTGGTGGTGGCAATTGATAGTTCAAAAATCTTAAGAGCTCCCTATGTCCCCAATAGGGTCAGTGGTGGCTCAGTGGTAGAATTCTCACCTTCCATGCAGGAGACTCAGGTTCACGTCTTAGCCAATGCAATTCATGAACAGCCACTACCCTTCTGACAGAGGTGGATCATATATTGCTAGGATTGACACAGTGACTGCAACAACAGGCTCAAACATAGCAGCCATTGTGAAGATGGCTCAAGACCGGCCACAGTTCCATTCTGTTGTACACAGGGCTGCTATGAGTTGGAACCAACTTGATGGCACCTGACAACAATAATATCATGCTGAACAGGTTTCAGTGGAGCTTCCAAATAAAGGCAAAGTAGGAAGAAAGGTCTGGTGATCTCCCTCTGAAAGTTAGACAATGAAACCTTATGGATCACAATGGTCCGTCCAATCCCCAACCGATCACAAGGATGGTGAGACCAGGCAGTGTTTAGTTCCATTGTGCATGGGGTATCCATGAGTCACAGACCAACTCCATGGCTACTAACAACAGCAACAATGTCCCCAACAATAACAAAAGATATAGATAATTCACATCTCTGACTGCAAGAAACTTACCTAGCTGACAAGAAGCAATAACACAGTTAAGCAATTAGCTAACAATACAATGCAATACAGTATTTAAAATCTGAATGGTGAAGCAGAAACCACAATAATGTGGGATTTGAGAAGCATCAGGATGCATGTGGACTGAGCTATGGAGGAGGTGGGTCTCAGCTTTGCCTAGAAGAAGGGTCAGATTTCAATAGGAGGATGGAAGAGCAAGGAAAGTACTGTGGGAAGAGGGAAAGTCAAAGTGGTTTTGGAAATCATTTTGTCAACCAGAAAAGATCAGCCTCAGATCCTTCCACCCATAAGCCTCACTAAATTGGTCTTTTCCAAACCCCCATTCTCTTGAGACTTCCATCACAGAAAACTCAAGAACCCTGTGCTATTACAAACAAAAGAAAGGACAAGTGGTTCAATCACAAACCTGCCCCACTTCAAAATGACTCACCTTTGTTGAGATGACAATTTTGCAGAACCTATCCCTTTTTCCTCATCTAACTTCCTCAATGTCTGGCGGTGTAGTGCCTAAGGCCCTTGACTGCTAACCAGGAGGTTGGGGGTTCAAACCCACCAGCCACCAGACTGGGCAATCTACTTCTGTAATGACACTGCCTTGGAGACCCTAGGAAGGGTTGCTATGAGTTGGAGACAACTTAATGGCACATAACAACAACTTCCTCAAAACACATTATGAACGGAGACAGCTATCTTCCTCAAATCAAAGGCCTTGGTATCTCCCCTTGAGTGCCAGGCTTCTCTGCTGCACCAATTTGCTTTTCTCCCAAATAAAATCTTTGTTAAAATGTCTATAACTTGACTCCAGCATCTGTCATTTAACAATTGTATCTTGTATGATTAGATCTTAAAAGTCAGCTGTTCACATGCTTGTTCATCCATTTAGGTACCTGTTGTTGTTCCTCTGGCTCCTGAAATATTTGAGTGACTGGAATGTGGATCACCAGTGTCTTCGGCTACCTTCTGCTATTTAAAATAAAGTAAAATCTTTTTAAGTAACACAAAGAAAACCAAGATCAGAAAACAAGGTGGTTTAAAAATTAAGTCAAAAGGATACTTCCAGTGGAAATAACAAGCTAAACAAGCCTTGCTTGAAAGCTTAGGGGCCCCACAGCTCACATGGGCTAGAAGCAAGGTCCTCACCATCTTATCTCCCAGCTCTGCTCCACACAGACTGAACCAGCTCAAGACCAGGACCATCTGTCCTCTCCCAAAGGAAGAGGCAGTGAAAGGAACTGAACTATGGGCCTCAGGGTGTGCAGAAGATGAGCCAAGGAGGAAGAACCATGCACGCTTTCAAAAATTCACCTTGTCCTTTCTGCAGAATAGAGTGGGAGAAAGAAAATGGAAGATGCCTTGTCCCAATTAACTATTCCAAATACTACCAGCAGCTCCTGCAATTGTCAGAACAAAAAGGAAAGGCCCGGAAATCTTTGAAGCAATTGCCCTACATTACATGAAAGTGACACAGGTCCACTGTGATCCATTGTTCCTAACAGAGATGTGGAGGCTTTGGTGGTCATGAAACATTTTCTGGGGCCTCAGAGAAGGGCTGAGGCCAGAGATTTGGGGGAGCACCCACCATCTCACGAGCGAATAGTATCAGACAAGGGGTGTAGCGAGAGCTCTGATCCCCACCCTTTCCCGGGACAGACTGTGCTTCTGTGGTGATGGGAGACACCACAGCCTGACTGTGGGTGGGTGGGACGGGGACATGGCTTGCTGAGGTCAGTGCCTTCTCTGTCATTAGGGGATGGAAGCCAAGGGACACAAAGGGCCCACCCTACTGACCCTCTGTCCCCCACCTCATTCATTCCCAGCTTTTTGTGCCACCTCCGAAGTTGCACCAGCCAATCTGGCTCCAGGTCCCTGTCTCCTCGGCGTCTTTCCAACAGCAGAGGATCTGACAGCTTCAGTTTCTCTGCTAGCTGTGCCAGGTTCCAAACCGGTCAGGGCAGAAAGGGAGAGAAGAAAAGGAAGAGAGAGAAGTGTACATGGAAAAATAATGCAGAAAGAAGAAATAAAGGGAAAGAGAAAAAGATAACTTTAATCTATAAATTATGACTATAAAGAATAATCGAGAAATAGCAAATTCTGCAGACAGCCTCAGAAAACTGCAACACAAACAGCCCATTTTGGTGTTAGATGCTAAACAAAAGATGAGGAGAAACTGTTACTGGGCTTTTTATGCAAAGCTATCTGCTCTGTAGGAACTCTGGTAGCATAATGCCTAAGACACTTGACTGATAACCAGAGGGCTGGCGGTTCAGACCCACCAAACACTCCTCGGAAGGAAGTTTGGGCAATCCACTTCCATAGTGATACCACCTCAGAAACCCAAGGAGGGGTCGCTATGAGTCGGGGCCAACTCGACAGCACATAACAACAACAACATCTGCTCTGCAGCAGCTTCTCAAACTTCAGGGTGCATAGGAATCCCCTGGGGTCTGGTTAAATGCAATGCTGCTTCCTTCTGCACAGGGCTCTACATCTCTAACAAGGGCCCCAGGTGATGTTGATGCTGCTGCTTTGGGAAATACATAGTGTGGCACTAAATCTCAAAATTTTCCTACTCCTCCATGCTCCACCTCTGAGCTCCACGCAACTACCTTCCAATGTATGGAGGCTTAGAGCCACTGATTTTATTAGTCAAGGAATCCAACACTTGGGTCTCGTCTAAAAACAAAACAAAAATTAAAGGAAAACTGTTTTTTTGCCCTCCAGCTAATGGATTTTTCTGAAATTAATTGGAACAACTATTGTCCTGATAGTTGTTTTCTTCCTCAGGAACTATAGGTTGATATGTTATTTTCTTTTTTAAAAAAAATGTGTCCCACATGTGATGAAATATTTGATCCATTTAAAAGCATTTTAATAAGGATCATTTCCTGTTTTAATTACTAAAATATGTTTTCTAAGCCCAGCTTTTATAATTAGAGTGGTCCACGGTCACATACAGTTTTACTCTACTAGAAAGACAGATGTGAGAATGAATTTCTCACATAGAACATGCTTGGTCTCCCGTAGCCCAATCTTACCACCCTCCCTTCCCCCCGAGCATCCTTCTTTGTGCATGGTGTCGAGCCTCTGCTTATCACATCTGGGCATGCATACGTAGTCAAAGACAGCCATGGGCGCCAATTTTACAGCACGTTCAAAGAAGATGAAATGCAGAGTCTAAGCTGCTTTACGATGGCTTTCTCTGAATGTGGAAGATAAAACACCTGCAAAGACTCCTTTGAGAAGCTCACCTTGATGAGTTCCACTAATAGCACGGGGTGACTGCTCTCTCCCCGGCTAAGGAGGGCCATGCCAATGGCTTCACAGTAATGCAAGGCCTGGGACGTGAGGCCATAATCTGCCAGACGGGAAGCATAAAGGAGCTTATAGACCTGTGAAGAGGAACAGGGCCAATGACTAGTCCATCCAGGCAGGGAAAGAGAGAGAGAAAATGGTAGATAAGACTTCTTGGAAGTCAGCTGACTGCCAGCTTCAGCTAACTCTGACATCCAAATATCAAGGAGGGCTTGTGCCACTGAGGCCATTTTATATGTGCATGGGCACAACTCCAAATCCAGCCTGCAGTTCCTCCCTCACAGAGAAAGGTACAGAAATCGCATCTGCTTGATGCAATCTTCCCAGAGCCTAGTATCATGGAAATGCACAGAGTGCTCACTTCTTATCAGGCAGTCGCCATCTCTGAAGGGCCTGATGAATGTGGGCAGGGACTGGGTGCCAGAATCAGAGGAAGAAGGAATCAAAGATAGACCTTGGTACAAGGGGCTTGAAATCCCATGGCATCCAGAGCACAGGCAAACACAGGTAAATGTTCACAGACCAAGAGTGACAGGGTGAGATTGAGGGTGAGGGCTTTGGAGTCAGAAAGACCCAAGTTCAAATCCTAGGTATGGAGAGCTGGGCTAGTCACCTCTTCACTCTGTGCCTCAGTTTCCTCACTATAATGTGAAAATAATACTCTCTATCTGCTTGGTCATTGTGAAGATTAAATTAGTTCATGCATGTAAAGTACTTAGAACAAATTATATACATGAGATTGAGCCAATATCATGTATCCCCTCTGAGCCTTAGTTTCCTCATTTGTAACGGGGTAATACGGCACATGATAGGAGCCCTGATGCCTCAGTGGTTAAAGTGTCTGTTAACTGAAAGGTCAGTGGTTTGAACCCACAGCTACTCTATGGGAAAGAGAAATCAGTCTCTCCTCTCCTCACTGCCGTCGAGTCGGATCCGACTCATAACGACCCTTCCTTGGGTTTATGAGGCGCTATCACCATGGAAGTAGATTGCCCAATCTTCCTTCTGAGGAGTGGCGGGTGGGTCTGAACCTCCAGCCTTCTGGTTAGCAGTCAAATGCCTTAGGCACTATGCCACCAGAGTTCCTGTGTCAGTCTACTTCCATAAAGATTTATAGCCTTAGAAATCCATTGGGGCAGTATAGGGTCTCTCTGAGTCAGAATGGATTCAACAGAAACGGGTTATTTTTTTAACCTCACATGATTAGAAATAATACGCAGAAAGCATGATAGCACAATGCCAGATATGAGTACACATTCAATAAAACCATCTAATATCATTATTGTCAGCCCAAAACAGAACCAAAACAACAAGGAGGTGGGATAAATGAAGAAAGGAAAGGTGTTGGCCCTAGACACCAAGAGGTGCTCATGAGGCAAGGTTTTGCTGGACGTGAAGGTGAGTCTCTGGTAAAACTCTTAAAAAAGAGATGACACTATTTGAGTCATTTCTCTATATACAGTAGTTCATACATATCAGAATGTTTGTTTCATGTTTTGTATTGTATTTTTATGTGTGTTTTGTTCTTGTTTTTGCTGCATACTTATACTAGGCGCTAAGGGAGATACAAATAATCATTAGAACAGGTCTCTGCCCCAAAGATCATTGAGATAGGAAAATATGATACTTGCACATGAAAAATAATAATACTACCAAGCAGAATGAGTTCAATGCCAAATGGGGTCTAGTTCAAGAATGCCCTGGAACTCCAGCTGTGGGGTGAAATAAAGTCTATGCCAGACACTGTTTGCTGTGTTACAACAATTTATTTTTAAAAAATTTAACTAATTCAGTCCTCATGCCAGTTCTATTCCATGTACAGTATTATGATCCCATTTTACAGATGAGGCCACTGGGACCACTATTACAGTCATGCCAGTAAGCGTGCTAAGGGAAGGCTTCCCAGAGGAGGGAATAAAAGAGAACACACACAGGAACTGGACATGAAGATGACACAATGCCAGTATTAGACTTGTTCTCTACTCAAGGCATCAAGTAGAGAAGTTGAGGAGGTTAGAATCTGCAATACAGATGTTACCTGCACAGGTGAAACCATGAGAAGGAAATAAGAAGAATGAGGGCAAAGGGCAGGATATGGAAGAATTTCCAGAGATAGAAAAAGGAGAAGTCCACAAGAACTCAAAGGAGAAGGCGAGGAGTAGAGTGCAGGACCCACTGTGTTGGGCGTTGTTGGCATGCCTGCTCTCAGACAGGATGGCTGTGGAGGCTGAGGAGAGGGCAGAGCTGTTTGGAAAGAAGAACAGAAAGATCAGCAGAGCAGGAGTGAAGAGGTGGGCCCCAGGACTGCAGCATAATATTTATGTGTCAGGAAGAAGCAGGAGGCCAGCAGCAGGGAGTTGTCTACAAAATTTTGCTTTCATATCTTAAAATGCAGACCTTTAGAGACATAAAAACAACTCCTCATGCTTGAGGTGATAAGGAAAAGTTCAGTACATGACTTATCCCAGGACTATGTGGACAATAGCAAAGCTGAGAATTCAGCCACCTGGCGACTCACCAGCCTGGCATAGCTAAGATGGCATCCTCATCTGGGTTCACTTACCTGAAAAGAGGGGATGAAGGACTTAGGGCGGCCCAGCATCTGGCAATACTCGAAGATCTCTGTCCTCTGGATAGCCTCAGTTGTTGCAAATTTCAAAAATTCTTGGCTAAAATCAGAGAGATAACAAAAAAGAGTGAGGTCTGGGAGGAAAAGGAAAAGTCCTAGAAAATAGTCAGACATGCACTATATTAAATCACAATAGAGTTTCTGTCCTGGGCTGATCCCTGGGCTGCTTCAGGAGAAGAAGGAGGCTCAGGGAGTCCACTGGGAGCATTCTGCCTCCTCTCTCCTTGACTCCTTGAGGCCAGAACACTGCACCAAAGGTATTGGGAGGGTAGGGGTCTCTGCCTTCTCAGAGGATAACTTAAGACAAGCTGGACCTGGAACAGCCCAGTCCACTCACTCTCCAACAAGCTCAGTGGGCACCGAGACCTCCTTTCAATCACCTTGAGAGTTCATCTTAGTGCCCTGAAGCCTAAACATGCACCTATGAAAAGCCACCCCTAACCTGAGCATAATCCAGCTCGGTGGACACTGGATCATCTCTTAACCACGCTGAGAGTTAACCTTGTTGTTGAGTACTGGCGAGTCAATTCTGACTCACAGCCACCCTATAGGACAGGTCTGTGGAGAACTGCCCCATATGGTTTCCAAGCTAGTAATCTTTATGAAAGAGACTGTTAGATCCTTCTGCTGCAGAAAAATCAGTAGATTTGAACCACCGACCTCTCAGTTAGCAGCAGAGCACTTTAACCACTGTGCCACCAAGGCTCCTGAAACTTTAGTGCCCCTACAGCCTAGAACTTGTGAAAAGCTATCCTTTCTACAAAACCACATAAAAGAGAGAATGATTTGAAGCTCCAAGAGTTCTGCAAAAGGAAGCCAAGGCAGACAATGGGGAAGCCTGCTGAGCCAGAGATCAAACAACTATCTTTCTTATGTTGGGTGTTCATTCAGCCAATCAGGAAGAGGAGTGGGTGAGTATCATCAAAGAGGGCAACAGAGTCTCCACAAAAGAGTACCCCAAATCTTCCCCTCAACAACTCATCATGATGTTTGAAGTCTCGGTCAGCAAGGCTATTATTCCTGGGTTAAGACTTTATCTCCAGAAATTTCCTCTTGAAACATAACAAAGCAGGGGGATATATTAACCCATACATATGGCATAGAGGGACTTTTCATAAGCAGCCAACATACTACCTGAGACCAGAACCTGGAGAGAACAGGGAGGTGTGGTCTTACAGGGGGCAGGCAGTTTGGCACAACTGTTCAAAGTAAAGGTTTTACAGTCTGACTTCCTAGATTCCAAGTGCAGCTCTACTCCATACTGGCTGTGCTATCTTAGACATGGTATTTAACCTCTCTGTGACTTAGTTTCCCTCCTTATGAACTAAAAAGAATATAACTTCTTCATATGGTAAATTTTTAATAATTAAAGGAAATACTGTACTGCAAATAAAATGACTGGCATTACAAAACCAGAAGAGCCAGTTGCTGTCAGTTCCCACTCACGGGGAACCTGTCTGTGTAGAATAGAACTGTGCTCCACAGGGTTTGCAAGGCTGTGACCTTTCAGAAGCACATCACCAAGCCTTCTGAGGCACCTCTGGGCAGGTTCAAACCACCAACCTCTAAGTTAGTAATCAAGTGCTTAACCATTTGTGCCACTGAGTGACTGGCATAACAAACCCACTGCCACAGAGTTCATTCCAACTCATAGGAACCCTACAGGACATAGTAGAACTGCCCTAACGATTTCCAAGGCTGTAAGTCTTTATGGAAGAAGACCACCTCATTCTTTTTCCTGCAGAATGGCTGGTAGGTTAGAACCACCAAGCTTTTGGTTAGCAGCCAAATGCTTTAACTACTATACCACGAGAGCTCCTTGGCACAACGTAAGAGCTTAGTAAATCTAAATCATTATGGAGAGTAGCAGAGAATGAAACATGAAGGACTGCTGGGGAACAAAGTGGTCTGTTTGTCCACTGACTCATTCCCTAAAAGCTTATAAAGATCCTTCTGTGTGAACAGTCTACTGCGATGGCCAACAAAGTGACCGGTGGGACTCAAGTAGCTTGTACACCAAGTCATCGTGGGTGTGCTGATGCCCCAGAGACAGCATACATAAACTTCTTCCACTTCCCAGTTTTGCCAGGATGGGCCCTGAACAACAGGCTCTTAGAACAGGCCCAGGGCTGCCTAAGAAAGCACGAAGCCTTACCAGAGACGTTGTTTTGTTGTTACGTGCTGTCCAGTCGGCCTCGACTCATAGTGATCCCTCCTTGGGTTTCCAAGTCGTTAGCATTTTTGTTTTATAGACAGACCCTAGTCATGGAGCCAGGGCACCACCCAGTGGCCAGAGTGGCACACTACAACCCAGAAGCACTAGCTCTAAGCTTCCCAGAGCAGGATGTAGGACCTGAGGCCCCCTGGTGGTGTGGTGCCTGCCGCTCCCACTGGGCATCTTGCCCAGACCTGGGCAGAAAACCATCCTGGATGAAAGGACCTGTACTAGCTGAAATTCATACAGTAAAATGGAAAATGGAACGAGCAAGGGCTAAAACAATCCCCCAGGAAACATCTTTCCCACTTACTTTCTTCCAGAAGATCACATACCTGTGGCTGCTGCCCAGCAAGGCCAGATGGTCTGTCTTCACGGTGTAGTAGCCGAAGGGCACGTGAGCCATGAGGTAGCAGAAGTGAGCAGCCTCCACAAACCCCTTCCCAGCTGCAGGAAGAGGAAAATAAGACTCAGTCATGGGCCACACTCCTGTGCTCCTGCGGGGAACATCACCCACAGAGAGAAGGATAGAAGAGTGGATTTAGAGGGCAGAGGGGAGAAGCCTCATGAAAAGAAATGAATGAACTTCTTACAACACAAGCTCCTCTGCTCCCTCCTACCAGCATTTTTGGCCTCATACATTACATTTCAATTCTCTCTGCCAGAACAAAGCACTATTTCATGTTCCCCCTAATGGATTTACTTTTAATAATTTATTTTTGTTGTTGAGAACATATCCAGCAAAGCATACACCAATTCAGTAGTTTCCCCATGTATAATGCAGTGACAGTGATTACATTCTTTGAGTTGTACAACCTTCTCTCCCTCCTTTTCTGAGTTGTTCTTTCCCCTTAACATAAACTCACTGCCCCCTAAAGTTCCTATCTAATGTTTCAAATTGCTGTTGTCATTGTGATCCTGTATAAATAGTTCTTAAAAGAGCATAAGGCTCTTTACTAGTTAAGCTAAACTATCATTTGGTTTTAAGATTTCATGGGGTATTTTTGGTTTAAGGGTTAAAGATGATCTCAGGTCAATAGTTTCAGTAGTTCACCCAGTCTCCATCACTCCAGAAACTCTGGGTTCCATGAAAACCTGAAATTCTGTCCTGCATTTGTTATTGGAAATTTTCTAGCATTTTGGTCCTTACTGAGGTTGAGACATGATCGAGAGATACTTACACCTAAGTAAAGGAGTGGGACATTGGAATGGCAGTTCTTAAATTAGGTTTCTGGGGGCACTAATACTCTCTTGCTAAAATCAAACTTTTCCTATTGCTCATAAAAATCACATCAATTACCAAATTTTTCCCAATTAAAAACATTCTCTCCAATACTTTCTATTATCTTGAAATTGAATTCATTCAAGTACGTAAAGTACCAAGTATATGGCACATGGCTCTCAAACCCCCTGCCAGCGAAGTCGATTCCGACTCAACCCCCATTGGGTTTCAAAGGCTGTGAATCTTTACGGGAGTAGATTGCCTCATCTTCCTCCAGAACAGCTGGTGGGTTTGCACCACCAACCTTCTGGTTAGCATCCAAACCTGGCATCAAAGGAGGGCTAAAAATATATATAAGTTCCCTTTCTACCAGTGTGCTGAGTAACCTGCTATCTGACTGGGCCCAGCCTTACATGTAGTACATTTAACTGAAAATATTTTACAAAGTTCACAGAGAGCCCCCATGACTTCTAGATATTCTGTCCCTTATACAAATCTGAGAACTGTTGATCTGGAACATGTAATAGCCCCTCAGTGTTTAGAAGGCCACATTCGCAGATATGACAAAGAAAAGAGATGACACAACTGCCCAAGATAGTTCAGGCAAAAATAGAATTTCCTGTGTGATTGAGTTGGGTCACTGCAGGGCTGATGGCAACAGTAGGCAAGATGGCTCATGTGTTAACTCCATCTACAGGGGAATCTCACCCAGATAGAAAATAACCACAGAGAAGCCCCCCAAAGGAACACCAAAATCCCAGGGGCCTGGCCTGTATCAGCTCACAGCAGAAATTCTCAGAAGGAAAGAAGCAAGGAGGGCACTTCTGTTCCTTGGGTTCTTTCCCTAAAAATCTGAGGATCCAGAGTCAAGGGAAGGCCTGTGGGTTAGACTCTGGCCCTCACAGAATCTAAGCATGTTTAAATTCTGCCTGGAGATACTTTGAGGAGCCTTGGTGGTGCACTGGTTAAAGCATTTGGCTGCTAACCAAAAAAGGTCTGTGGTTGAAACCCACCAGCTTCTCCACGAGAGAAAGATGAGGCAGTCTGCTTCCATAAAGAATTATAGCCTTGGAAACCCTATGGGGGCAGTTCTACTCTGTCCTATAGGGGTACTGTGAGTCAGAATCAATGCAATGGCAGAGGGTTTGGTTTGAGGTTTAGAGATGCCCTAGAAGAGGGGAAGGAGCTGGAGAAGGAGAATAAGACCTGGTGTTGCCTGGTGACTTACCCAGGGTGTCACCCATGGTGACAATCGCACGTTGATGCAGCTCTGGGTCCCCAGCCTGATTCGACAGAATCACAGCCAAGTGAGGCCTCCAGTCTCCCCACTGCTTATCCCCACAACACTGCAAAGCAGGAGGAAAAGAAAAGATTTACTGAATAACCAACCTAGGGCTAACCAGAACATGAAATCCCTGGAAGGTACAAACAATTAAGCCCTGGACTACAGGCTGAAAAGTTGGCACTTTAAACTCACCCATGGATGCCTTGGATGACAGGCCTTGTGAACTGCTTCTGAACAGTCACAGCCATTGAAAACCCTATGAAGCAGTTCTACTCTGCACACATGGGATCACCCACCAGGAGTCAGAATCCACTCAAAGGCAACTAACAACAACAACCAGAATGTGGGCAAAGAATGTTGTTGGCTATTTCTTTCTTTGGAGGAGTTCTGGGAATGCCCGTTACACTGCCCGTAATCCTGCCATTCACTGACTTAGGATTCTCTTTAAGAAAACGAGGAGCCCTGGTGGCACAGTAGTTAAAGTACTCGGCTGCTAACCTAAAGATCTGTGGTTCAAACCTACTAGCCACTTGACAGGAGAAAGATGAGGGTCTGCTTTCATAAAGATTGCAGCCTTAAAAACCCTATGCAGCAGTTCTACTCTGTCCTATAGGGCTGATAGGAGTTGTAATAGACTTGATGGCAATGGGCTTTTTTTTTTTTTTTTTCAGTTTTAGTTTAAGTTTTAAAGAAGCAAAACCCCTAGAAGGAAAGAAGAATGGACAGACATACTGACTGTTGATTGATTGATTGATATAGGAAGTTAGATAAATAAAATGACACTCTTGGTCACTTAAGGAGCTCTGGTGGTACAGTGCCTAAGACATTTGACCACTAAGCAGAAGGTTGGTGGTTCAAACCCATTAGCCATTCTGTGGAAGGAAGGTGGGGCAATCTACTACTGTAAAGATTTACCACCTCGGAAATCCAATGGGGATTGCTATGAATCAGAATTGACTTGATGTCAGTGAGTTTGGTTTTGGTTTTATTGGTCACTTACTGATTTTCTAATCTTGTCTTGGTGCCCCTACCCCCAAACAGTTATGGGAAGAAAAACAGACTGATGTTTCAGTGGGAGAAATAAGATCAAATATCCTTGGCTTGTGAATAGATCAAATTAGACTGCCACAGAAGTCAGGGAAGAACTGGGGGCCTCAATACCTTAATCAAAAAACCAAACTCACTGCCATCAAGTCGATTCCAACTCATAGTGACCCCTGTTGGGTTTCTAAGGTGGTAAATCCTTATGGAAGTAGATTGCCCAGTCTTCCTTCCATGGAGTGGCTGGTGGGTTTGAACTGCCAACCTCTGGTTAGCAGTCAGATGCCTTAGGCAATGTGCCACCAGAGTAGCTAATGTGCCTTGGTTTCACAAAGCCCTTTCACACACATCATCTTAATTAATCTTTATAACAATTTTATGAAGTCTAATTTCTATCCCCACTTTAGGAATGAGAAAACCATGCCAAGTGGTCCAGGCTAGGCTCAATTCCCACTCATCTTTCTCCTAGCCAACGGCTCTGCCACATACCACTGATGGTGATGCAGGGGCAGCAAACTCCAGCAGGGAGCAGCAGAATACAACTCTCCCCACCCTAAACCCACCAAACCAAACCCACTGCCATCAAGTCGATTCCAACTCATAGCGACCCCCATTGGGTTTCTGAGGCGGTAAATCTTTATAGAAGTAGATTGCCTGGTCGCCCTTCTGTGGAGTGGCTGGTAGGTTTGAACTACCCACCTTCTGGTTAGTACTCAAATGCCTTAGGCACTATGCCACCAGAGCTCCTTCTCCCCACCCTATTCCTCCATAAAAAATAACCCAAACCCTCTGCTGTCAAATCAATTCTGACTTACGGTTATCTAAGACAGACTAGAACTGCCCCATAGAGTTTCCAAGGCTATAATCTTTATGGAAGCAGATTGCCACATCTTTGTCCTGCAGAGGAGGATGGGTTCGAACCCACCAATCTTTCAGTTAGCAGCCAATTGCCTAACGACTGCGCCACCAGGGGTCCTTTAGAGAGCACAAACCAAAAAAAACAAACTCACTGCCATGAAGTCGGATCCGACTCATAGCAACCCCTCCTTGGGTTTCCAAGGCAGTATCACTATGGAAGTAGATTGTCCAACCTTCCTTCCGAGGAGTGGCTGGTGGGTTTGATGCCTTGGGCGCTACGCCACCAGAGATCTCCTAGAGACAAATAGAGCAGTGGGAATGGAAAGGTACCCACACAAAGGGTGATTTCCCCACAACCTGGCTCTGGGGCCATCCTTCTGAATGAGGGAGAATTTCAAAGCAGGAACTCTCAATAAAGAAACAGCATAATGTCATAGACACAGCATAAGTCCCATCACTAGACTTGGATTAGACTCTTGAATCCTGCCTCTTGCTAACTGTGTGACCTTGAGTAAAAGTCCTAACGTCTTTGAATCTTTGTTTCCTCATCTCTGAAATGGAGACCATAATTTCTACCTAATAGAGTTATTGTTGAGAATAAAATGAGATGATTATGTAAAGCACATAGCACAGTGTTTGGACTTGGTTTACACTTGGCAAATTATGTATAGGTGTAAATACACACACACACACACAGTAGGAAGCCCAGCAAAGGAAAGAGGTGATTTGCAAACCAGTTTATCTTCTAATTTGCTACATGGAACAGGATTTTGTCAGTAATAGCTAGATTTGGAGGTCAAAACTATTGACAATTATTTGGTCTTTGTAATTACCCCAGGGAACAAAAAGATGATTATACAACTCCATTTTACATTTCCTCCTTGTTTACTGGGGTGATGCAGTATTGATGAGAGGAAGATGGTAATAAATTACAATAATGAGAGAAATTCTTGTTTACTGAGTGCTGGTCATAAACCACACCCTCTGCTATGCAGTTCAACCAACAACCTCATGTTGTAGGTACTATTATTATCCTCATTTTAACAGTTAAGGCAAAAAAGAATAAAAGCCTTTGATAAAAAGGGAAAAAACTTGGAAGTCACTCTTCTGTCTCCTTCCAGGTGATTTTCAAAAATCACTATAAAGCAGACCTATAGGGACAGACTGGGACAGAGCAAACATTTATTAAATAACTTCAATGGCCCAAATGTGGGAAAAGTTATGTTCACATATTTCCTCTCCTATAATTTTCAGGAGCTCTGCTGGCACAGTGCCTAAGGGATGTGACTACTAACCAGAAAGTTGGCTATTTACACCCACCAGCCACTCCGAGGAAGGAAAATGGGACAATCTACTTCCAAGATTTACCACCTCAGAAACCCAGTGGGGGTCACTGTGAGTCAGAATCAACTCAATGGCAGTGAGTCTGGCTTTAATTTTCAAATTAACTTTATTGGCCAGTACCAAAATTCCCACAAATATAAAAAACTGAGGCTCTGTAACATTAACTAACAAGACAAATTCATGCAACAATAAGGAGCAGGGGGTGTCTAGAATAAAACTGTGATTAAACCCATGTCCATGTGGTTGATTCCAGGAGCTCTAGTGGCACAGTGGTTAAAGCGCTTGGCTGCTAACTGAAATGCTGGCGGTTTGAACCTTCCATGTTGCTCTATGGGAGAAAGATGAGGCAATCTGCTTCTGTAAAGATTTACAGCCTTGGGAACCCTACAGGGTAGTTCTACGCAGTCCTATAGGGTGGCTGTGAGTCGGAATCAACTCCACCGCAACAGGTTTAGTTTTGAGTTTGTGTGATTCCAGTTGCCATGCTCTTTTTACTACACCATACAGTTCATGTAACTGAAATCTAGCTTCTTTACTGGGATGCTACTGTGCCATCAGTATTTCAAATACCAGGAGGGTCACCCATGGTGGACTGGTTTCAGCAGAGCTTCCAGACTAAGATATACAAGCAAGAAAGGCCTGGTGATCTACTTCCAAAAACCAGTCAGTGAAAACCCTGTGGGTCACAGCAGAACATTGTCTGATAGAATGATGAGAAATGAGCCTCCTAGGCTCAAGGAAACTCAAAATACACAATTATGGCAACAATGCACTTAAGCATGTCAACCATCATGAAGATGGTGCAAGATCAAGCAATATTTCTTTTGTTTTACACGAGTCACCATGAGTTGAGCTGACTTGATGGCAACTAACAACAACAACAGGAAACTCCCAAACTCTCAGCTCAAGTACTGCATTGGCACATCACTTGTGGCTCCTCAGTTTTCTCTCATAAATGTATGGAAAACTCTACCTGTGCAGTGAGACCTAACGGACCATAAATTAATTAAATCATTTCATGTCTTTAGTGCTCCATGACATGATGCCACTTTGTTGCAGAGCACAGGCATTCAGCTGAATTGTGAGGCACATTCTGGGTTCCAATATAGCCAGTTGGTTTGACAATGGGGCATTAAAGTTGCTATTTTTCTTTTCTTGGAATTATCCACAAGCAGTAAGAACAAAAAAAAAAAAAAAAAGTGTGAAGTCTATTTTCATTAAAACTAGGTGTCAGCTAAAACCCAAACTGCAAAATACGAGCAAGGGCTGCCATAAGCAATGGAGACTGAACAGAAGTGCACTCAGGAGGGAGCAGAGAGAGGAGAGAGAGAGGGGAGTCCTGCTGTCTCCACTGCTGGGGAAGTAGAGGCTAGATAGAGTCACACAGAAAACGCTGGGTCATGAGGAAAAATTGCCAGACAGCCTAGAGCATGGCCTTCGTCTTACCTCACACACACACACACACACTCACACACACACACACATTCATCTCCTATAAATAATCAGTCCAGGGAAGACTTCTTCAAAGGTACTTAATATAAAGGAACACACAGAGAATCTTTACAAACATACTATAAGATCAGAGGAGGACAGTCACATGAAAAAATAATTGGAAAGTAGACAGAATGTTCACCAGAAAAACATCACTGCAGAACAAATGAAAAAATGTCACCAAATAGTTCATCGTTAATTTAAATAAAATAAAATAACAATGACAAAATTGCTTTTATGAAGCAAGAGCATAAAGCTGAGTTAGAAGAGCTTAGGAAAGAGATGGTTGACAACTGAAAAATCAAAACATAAAACTACCACCAGCAAGTCAATATTGACTCATAGAGACCCTATAGGACAGTGTAGAACTGCCCCATAGGATTTCCACAGCTGTAAATCTTTACAGAAGAAGACTGCCTCATCTTTCTCTCATGGAGTGGCTGTGGGGTTCAAATTGCCAAAATTGTGGCTAGCAGCTAAGTATTTAACCACTCTGCCACCAGGGCTCCTTCTCAGCAAAGTGGATGAAAAATCAAAGAAATCAATGCACAAATGAAAAGAGCATGAAAGTGAAGAGACATTAATGAAAACATGGGGAAAGACAGAGAGGATGGAAACAAGAAAGGCAAAATAAGGAATGAAGCACACAAATTTTTCTTTACAGCAAAGAGAAAATTATGTAATTCATAAAATATATATATATATCAACTCACTGCCATCAAGTTGATTCCAACACATAGCAACCCCCTTTGGATTTCCAAGGCGGTAAATCTTTACAGAAGTAGATTGCCCAGTCTTCTTCCTTCCACAGATTGGCTGGTGGGTTTGAGCCACCAACCTTATGGTTAGCAGTCAATACCTTAGGTACTGCGCCACCAGAGCTCCTTAGATTAGACACAGACGCAAACAAAATGTGGGAACGATAGATGTCATGTGAAGATTGCCAAGGAACTAGGGAATGCCGGGGCTACACAAGCTGAAAAAGAAAACAATCCTCCCCCAGAGACAATAAAGAGCAAGCCTTCCCCTAGAGCCAGTGCCCTGAATTTGGACATCTAGACTCCTAAACTGTGAGAAAATAAATGTCTGTTCTTTAAGCATCCCACTTGTGGCATTTCTGTTACAGAAGCAACAGGAGACTAAGACAGGTACCATGGCTGCTTGTGGAATTCTCCCCGACATGAGCTGGAAGAGGGTCTGCAATGGGTCATTGAACGCCAGCGTGCTGGTAAAGCTGCAGAGAGAAGTGACCATCAGTGGGGGCCATGCAAGGAGAGCCTGCTTACTCATTTCCAGGAAGGGATAAGTTCTTCCATATTTCCATTTAATTTCAGCATCTTTGTTTAGAACATGAGCTTCTTTTTGCTTTCTACTGTCCCTGTTACAACCTCCATTGGGTAATAAGGATTGGGCAATTCTATCACACACCTCAAGAATTTGCTGAGGCATACTGCCTGCACTTTGGCACTGATCTCCTGTTGGTTAACAATCTCTGTATGCCTTCTTCTAATGACTCACCATCATCTGAAAGACCTGGAAGCTCTTCTCTGTGGACCTCTGCAGCCCAGCCACACCTCTACTCCTACTCCACAGCATTTCAAACCTCATACTTTTCCAAGCTCACAGCTCTCAATGTGATTTTTCTGGCTCATCACAAGTCTAGGTCTGTAGTGCTTTGACTCACAAGCACTAAATAGCCATTTTCTGTAACCAAAGAGGCGTGGAACAGGGACGAGAAATTATCTGGCTGATAACAAACCATGGGATATGCTTAACAAGGATATAATAAGCTCTACAGCTGATTTGAGATTTAAGCATACTCAGTAAGAGATATTTTTCACAATTCGCTGGGCCCCATCAAAAATCAATGGCCCAAGGCAAAAATCTGTAGTAGAGATGTATGCTACAATGTGGGGTTGTGGGATGTTCATTTCCAAAACCCAAAGGAAAATCATGCCTCAGAACACCATCTTTTATTTAATAGCACCCTTGCCTCAGGAGCTCAGAGCTCTTATCATAATAAAACTTCAGTGCTCCTCACCATCCCAGTTTCTGAACATAATGAAGTGCACAGTGGTGTTACTTACTAGCCGCTGGGAAGACTGAGGTTTCAAGTAATAAAGAGATTCAACCGAGGCCACCATGAAGAATGAGCTCCTAGGTATGTGACAACTATTAGGCCCACAGACTGAACTTAAAGTGGAGGCATCTGTCTTGTTTAACCAACTGTTTGTCCAACAGGATTTATGGCCAAGTCTTAAATGTGAGCTAGAGCCTGAAGGACTTACTCAGAAACCCTTCTCCAATACCCCCATACACCTACCACTTTCATTTCATCTTGATTCTCTTTTGTTCTGCTTCATTCCCTCAGTTCCAAACTGCTGGTTATGTACCCTCACCTCACTCTCCATCTGCTCATGGTCTGGGCACTGCACGCGTTCTTATATCTTCCTGACTCCATCTCAACACCCAGATCTTGGTGTCCTGACATGATTTCTAACTAAGCACACCACTTCAGCCTCAATATCTCCCACTGACATAGATGAAGACTCTGGATCTAATTTCCAGTCCTATGAACTCCTTTTCCTACTACAGCTTACTATCCCATTACCCCATATTCCACTTATTTCTCAGTATCCAGATCCATACTCCAAATAGCAGACAATTACATACATCAAAAACTCTCAGTCCTAAGGCTTTTCCACCTCTTCTCTTACTGATGGAATGAACTAGAATAGCTACTCACAAAGAGAAAAGACTATAGCAATGCACAAATCTGTTTTTGTTGTTGTTGTTGTTGTTGTTTGTTTTTGTTTTTGTTTTTGTTTTTAACTTTTTGAAACTACAACCCTTGGAGATATTATTAAAAAGTTTGGTTCAAATTAGCAGGTAGAAAGAAATGTAGCTGTGTCTAGGTTATAAGTATCTGGAGAAGATAAAGGCTACATTGATCTCAGAAAAGAGAAATTGGGAATTTGCTTAGAATATGGGGCTTCTAAGTGCTACTTTCATTTCTTCCCATCCTCATCCCCCAGCTTTGCAGGGAAGACCTCTCTGCTCCATAGGCCTCTTTGTATAGACCCTGACTCACCTACTCATGACCCAGCTATAGGTCCTTGGGTCCATCTTGCTGGACAGAAAAAAAGCATGGCCCCACAAGTGGTTCTTCATGGCCCATTCCAAGGCTTCCTGAAAAACAAACACATTACACTCAATACTGGCTTACTCACTTTCCTTTAACAAGAACAACAATCAATCAACCAACCAATAACCTACTATGTTTACATATTGTGGCACCTCCAAGCAGTAGAGGCTGGACTTCCAGGAAGGCTCTTCTAGGAGTAGAAAGGAAGTAATTGCACAGTATTTCTCTCTAGGTTGTCCCCTTCTCCAACCTTCACTTTATCAAAATCCATTATACTATTTCACTAACTTCCTATCAAACACAGTTGCAGTTAACCTTACCTCTTTAGCAAAAAAAAAAAAAAACAGAAAATACTTCTATGACCTTATGCTGAGGAACCTAAAGTAAGAAAAACACCAAAACCCAAGGACTGAATCTCAAAATACAAACAGCAAAATTATATTCGTGATGGGTAAATTAAAACAACAGTTTATTTTTAACAACTGTAGCTGAGACTACTAGGTGCTCACCATCCATGTTCTCCTTCCTGGGCAAAAAGCTAGACTACAACATTTTCCCACCTGCCTTGCACCCAGTTATGGATGGCTGAGTCCTAGGTGGTGGATTGGAATGGAAGTGAGATGTGCCACTTTCAAGTCTGGCCCATAAAACTCACATGCCATCCTTCATGTCCTTTTCTCCATCTAGCTGGCTGAAATGAAGATGAGAAGATGGGAGGGCCTTCCACATCCTGAGACCCTCAATGACTACATGGAGAAGACTTGCCTAGTACTCTTACATGAATAGAAATAAACTATAATTACATTTAATCCAGCATTTGTTGTTGCAGTTAGCTGCCACTGAGTTAGCCCCCTAAACCATAGTGACCCCCTGCACAATGGAACAAAATGATTGGTTGCACATCAGACCATTTTAATCCATGGAGTTTTCATTGGCTGATTTTCACAAGTAGATTTCCAGCCTTTCCTTCCTAGTCCACCTTAACCTGGAAGCTCTGCTGAAACTGTTCAGCATTGTAACAAAATGCAAGCCTCCGACAAACAGGTGATGGCTGCATGTGAGGTACGTGGGTCAGGACTCAAACCCAGATTTCCCATATTGGTGGGGGGAGGCAAATTGGTACAATCTCTAATTCTACCACTGAACCACTAATGTCCTCACTAAGCTAGTACACATACCAGACAGTAATAACCTACCCCACTTATTACACAACTAATTACAGGTTAGCTAGCAAAAGCCTTAATACACCAAATTAATGACACCGTTAACTGGGAGAGATAGGTTAGAGTTGCAAAGTAAAGAAAAATAAACACATTCTCCCATTCATTTTACTTTCAGAAATATTTACTGAGGACCTAAATTATATGTGAAGTTTTGAGCTGATATTTCCTTGGTGCTAAAAAATAATGTAATTTTTGAACAGGAAGTCACTAATGAGGTGGTTTTACCTCCAAATTTATCTTCATTAGAAAGAAAGACAGTGAGAATCAATAAATGAATGAAAATGAATAAGAAAGAGTAAATTTAAACAAGCCACATTAGGGAATTCAGCCTCACATCTAATGCAAGTGAAAAATGACATTAAGAATTAACTGTTTTTGTATGTTTAAACTATCTCTTAATAACTTTTTTTTTTTTTAAAAAGAAAGAGTTACTAGAATTTGGTTGGTAATCACTAGTTTACTTAAAAATCTGCCTCTCCAAAAATATAGTTTAGGAGTAAGTGAAGAAATGGAGAGCTTTTATCAAGGCCTGCCAATCTCACACACTGCCAGAAATAAGATCCAGTCACGTATTCACAGATTTTTCAAGGTATTTTTACATCCTACTTCTTTATGAATCACTCTGAACTCTGTAGTGCTCCATCTATTTCTTGCTTACCTTTGGGTCAAGTTCTGAAAGGTAGTGTGGTGGAGTGTTTAGAAGCACAGGCTCAGATCTCAGGCTTCCTGGATATAAACCCTACAGCTCTTGTTGTTGTTGTTGTTGTTATGTGCCGTCAAGTCTTACTAACTTACTAATTTACTAACCTTACTAACTTTCCTCCTCTGTGAGTACATAAAGCAAGAACAGAACATAATTTACAGGATTTGTACAAAGATTAAATGAGGTGATCCATGTAAAGTCTTAAGCAAGTACCTGGCAGGTAAAAAGTATTGAACAAATATTTACTTTTGTTATTATTGTTACTGTTACAGTCATCACTTATTTTTCTTAAAGGTAGAGATCATAACTGACTTAACTTTGTATCTCCCACTAAGCTATGGTTCAATACCTTAGAAGTGGTAGCTGCCTCATAAATGTTTATTGAGTAAATGAATCACTGTTGACACTGCAACTACAGGATCACTAAGAGTGGGAATCAATTTGATGGCAGTGGGCTTGATTTGGTTTTAACTTTCACTGGGGACTTTGTCACTCATCTAAAAGATAACCTACACTGCCCCCCACACCAAAAAAAGAGATTAAAAGGTTTAAATTCAAAAGTGAAATCACAAAAGTACCTGAACTTTATTTTTATAAATTAATTTTAAAGTAGAAAAAGGCTTTCTAAATACGACCCCAAAAAAATCATAAAATAAAGATGAATAAATACAACTGTGTAAATAAATAATTTTGCATATGAAAAATTAAAAGCAAATTTAAAAAAAAAAAAAAAACAGGGAACACATTTGCAACTCACATCACATTCAATCACAATCCGTGATTAGGGACAGGAAGTCCCAGAATATAAAGAGTAAACAGCAAAGACTCAACAGAAAAGTATAGAAAATACATGAAAAGAAAAGGTCACAGATGAAAAGATATTCAACTTCATTCATAACAACAGAGATGCAAATAATTACCAAAAAGTATATATTTTTTCCTGTCATATTGAAAACACTAGGTTGGTGAGGATGATGGAAGGTGTTCTGTATTACATCTCTTTAAATTTGGATTTTTGAATCATGTGAATATATTCAAATATTTTTAACTTACTTTATGATTTTTGTAAAATGTGAGTTCAACTTCAAAATTAAATAAGACATCACTTTTTATCTGTTGAATTAAACTATTCAATATTGGTAGGCATATCTTAAATATAGCTGGTAAGAATATCATTTGTAAACAACTTTCATTCACATATACAACCTTTTTTTGTATATATAATAACCTTTTAAACGTGCATAAAACCAAAACAAACCCACTGCCAATGAGGCAATTTCGACTCATAGTGACCCTATAGGACATAGTAGAACTGTCCCCATAAGGTTTCCAAGGCTGTAAATATATATAGAAGCAGACTACATCATCTTTCTCCCATGGAGCAGCTGGTGGGTTCAAACCACCAACTTTTTTGTTAATAGCTGAATGCCTTAACCACTGCACCACCAGAGCTCCTTTTAAAAAGTGTATATACCCTTCTCAAAACATACTATATGAAAAAACCAAACTCACTGCTATTGAGTTAATTCTGACTCATAGCGACCACTATTAGTTTCCAAGCCTGTAAATCTTTACAGAACCACACTGCCCCATCTTTCTTCCATGGACTGGCTGGTGGGTTTGAACCACAAACCTTTTGGTTACTAGCCAAAGCCTTAACCACTACCCCACAGAGCTCCTTTAAAATGTACTATAAAGCTACAGTAATCAAAAGAGTATGGTGTTGACATAAAGATAGATACATAAATCAATGGAACAGAACTGAGAGTATAAATATTAACACATGTACCCATAGCCAACTGATTTTGGCCCAAGGGTGCCAAGACTATTCAATGGGGAAAGAATAGTCGATCCAAAAAAATGACACGAGACAACCAGACATTCACATTCCAAAGAACCCTTAACTGAACCTTTAGCTCACACAATATACCAAAATTAACTCAAAATGGATCAAAGCCCTAAATTTAAGAGTTAAAACTAAAAAACTTTAAAAGAAAATATAGAGGCAAATATTCATGACCTTGGATTTGCCAATGGTTTCTTAAATATGATACCAAAAGCACGATCTAAAAAAGAAAAAAAACATAAATTGTACTTCATCAAAATTTAAAACTTTTGTACATTAAAGAGTACAAAACCAAAAAAAAAAAAAAAATTCACTGCCATTGAGTCGATTCCAACCATTGGGTTTCTGAAGTGGTAAATCTTTACGGAAGTAGATTGCCCAGTCTTCCTTCTGTGGAGTGGTTGTGTGTTTGAACTGCCAACCTTTTGGTTAACAGTCAAATGCCTTAGGCATTGCACCACCAGAGCTCCTTATTAAAGGGTATAGTATCCTGAATATATGAAGAACTCTTACAACTCAACAACAAAAGACAAATAACTCAATTTAAAAATAAGTAAACTGTAGGAGATCCTTGATAGAGAGGGAGAACAATGTGGAACAAAACTCAAAATCATTTGGAGGAAAAAAAGGGGGAGACTAGGTTTGCTGGTCCGATAGAGCTGGTGGAACCACTGAGACTATGGCCCCTAGCTGCCCTTTAGGTCTGGAATTGAACCCACACCTGTGGTTTCCAGCCAAACAAAAGACAGGCATATGAGTTGAACATTTACCTCAAGTAGGTACACTCCTTGGAGAGAACAATCATGGGAAAAAGAAGGGCTAGTTATGCTCAGGGAGACAGCTCAGTGGGCAGCAGCCTATGGAGGGATGGACACTGGGAAGAGGTAACCCATGCTGGAAAGCTTCCAGCAGAGCTTCCAGAGTAAGACAGACTTAGAAGAAGGAAGGGGCCCTCTATTTTTCAAAGAATTGGCCAGTGAAAACCTTAGGAATAGAATGAAAAACTGTCTGATATATTACTAGAAAACTTTTTGAGCCCTGAAACATTGTCTGATACAGTGTCAGAAGATGAGATCTTTAGGTCAGAAGGCACTCAAAATAAAACTAGGGAAAAGCTACTTCCTCAAATAGAGTCAATCTTAATGACATGGATGGAGAAAAGCTTTAGGGACATCGATTTGCTGATAGGGCACGACTCAAAATGGGAAGAAATAGCTGCAAACATCCACTAATAATTGGAACATGGAATGTACAAAGCATGAATCTAGGAAA